GTTTGTTAATTTTCAACGTGGTTGAGAAGCTGAATACATTATGGAATGATCCATACTTTTACTCAATGCAAATAAGACAAATCTGAAAATAGAATTGTTGTGTAATTTCATATAAGTTACTTCAGTAGATAATTCTAGTTCTGATCCAATTATGATATGAAACTGTCACCTATCACAAGCAGAAATAAATACTTTAGAAAACGCAATGCTGCCTACAAAAGTCTATCATAAATATACAGGAGATTCTCAATAGCAGTTGAAGAATTTTATTTAAATATATTTTCATTATATTGGTGTCAACCATTTTCTCTTTTTGAAAAGACAGGTACTGTACAATAATCCTTATTAAATTACAAATAAAAAATTATAACAAATATATAATTTTTCCATAAAACTGCTGTGAGTTCAATAAATTTAATATCAATATAAAATTTATAAAATTAAATAAAGGCTACATTACAATAATATAACTTTTGAATTCAACAAATCTTGTATAAAATAGTCAATCGAGGAAAACTCTTATTTGCAAAAACATTTCTTCACATGAACACGTTTATTCAATAAACTCACTTTTTGCAAACAGGGCATCAAATAGATCACTTTGTTGAAAACAAGTATTGTTGGATGAGACTAGTTACATTATATGATTAGTACAGTATGTTTCATTTTGATTGAACACACATCTGAATTTTTCATCAAAATAGAATATCTACTGTGACTAAAATGGGCCTTAAACTACCTTGAAGATATTTCATTGTATCAAGACCAGACAACGGCTAGTTAACGACTTTATTGAAATTCAAATAAAAATGCAACTAAACTTGTCACACCATTATAGAAAATATTATTTCCGTAAAATTCAAAAAAAATCGACAGATCAATTTTTGAGGTCATCAACAAAAAAAAAGGTCATTAGAGAAGACCTAGAGGCATCTATGTTTCAACTACTAACAGTGCCTGCTCTTCTTCATGCAGTCATTGTTCACTGTGGTTCTGGCGTTGCATCTGATATTATTACCCCTTGGTCAAAGACAAAACGGACTGGTTTAAGTTTGACGATAGTCGTGTCACTAAGCGATGTATTGAATTTATTGGAGCCTCTGTAGACACCCTACATTTTGTTTTATGAGAGAGAGGACATTGGCAGATCAAGATCTTCAGATGATGTAGTGCTGCAGGTTTTTCCAGGATTTCCTGCAGCTGAAAAAGCAAATGCTAAGAATGATATAAACGAGTTAATGGCATCATAGTATTAGACTAGGAAATAATTGATGGAAGGTTAAATTGGAACCTCTTACGTAAAATAAATCCAAAACAAGCACTTTTCCTTCCCAATAACCAGAAATGCAAAACTCTTCTCGACGCGCGTTTCACTAACCAAGTTGGCGTCTTCAGGAGATGTTCTAAAATGTAACTTTTCTACCTTTTTAAATCCACAATTGACAGCTTCGGTCCAAGATTAGAAAGGAACATCAAGACTGGTTGAATGGCTTAGAGCCATTTAACTGTGAAACCGTATTAAATAAACTGCTAGAAACTCCCGATAAAGAAACTCAAGAACATTACTGAAATGATACTCCTAAAGAATTTCTTAAAGAAATTAAGTGCACCTCGGAACAGGACATAAATAAACAGAAGAGGGGAAAGAGACTAGCATTGCCACAAAGTAAACGTGAGAGCTTAAATTATGTTGAGCATGAAAAGTAGCAAAACAGACAAATACAGAAGTTGGTGATAATCCAGACGTTTGACCTGATAATATCTACAATGTCAATATTTTTGAGGATATACTTCAACCTGGAACTTCGACACAAAAATAAATTGACTGAATTATATAGATCAGATGAAACTGAAAATGTGAAGTGAACATGTAAATTTTTCTGCTAGTCAGTCATAAAAAATTTAAAATCATATGACAGTACATAAAATTCTCTTTCCAACAATGTAACACAAATGACTATTTTCTTTCGAAATGAAGTTTTCTCAAAATTCAATATTCACGATATCTATAGAAATATTGTTGAACAACTTGATGTTGTTGATGATCAAAAGACAATGTTTGCTCAGTTTTTACTTCATTTTCCTTGTAACATAAACAGTTAGTGGAATTTTTTGAAACTTCAAAATCAAAAGGTACCTCTTTTACTATAAAAAATGTTTCTACTATTTTTGGAAACTAAATTATAAGATAATGCAGAGATTTCAAACCTTCAAGTTTTCACTGGCACAAAAAATTAAACTGCAAAGTATCTTTGACATTTTGTTGTAGAACAAGAAGTACACTTTAATTACAAAGTATAAAAAATACCACTTCCTATTGAAATTTTTGAGAAAAATGAAGTTAAAAAATGGAATTCTTCGAAATTAACGAACGGTACGCAATTTACAGAAAAATTTCAACTCTTAAAATCAATATAAAAAAAACTGAACAAACATTGTCTTTTGTTTCTTACAGTATCAAGTTGTTTCACAATATTTCCATAGATGACGTCATAGTGTCACCATATTGAATTTGGAGAAAATGGTCGCTTGTGTAATATCAGTAGAGGAAAATTTTATATTCTAACAAAAAGTATAAAAACAACGATAAAAGTAAAAACAATTAAAATTTATTAGCGCTCCGGGGCGACTTCATTGATTCCAGTGGCGCATTTGCTTTTTCAGCTGCAGGAAAACCTGGAAAAACCTGCAGCACAAAAAGTATACAGAAGTTTATTAAAAATACTTGACATTAGTTCATTTCCCATTAAAACAAAATAGATTTTTAATTATTTTTCATTACAAATATCGGCTCCACAGAATTATACCTTTGTTCAAAATTTAAAATTGTTCACCCAATAAACAACTGAATGGAGCCGTGCACAACGATTTCATTGCCAATCAGTATGAAAATCTGATTGAAAGCAGGGTTGGACCGTTTTTTCCCATCTAACAAACTACTCCCAATAGAATGAGCACTTTGAAATATACAGATGTGTAACCGCATAAATTGGAACATACATATTTTTATGACTTCAGGTGGGCTTATTTCGACAAAAAATTAAATCCATGAAACATAAAACACCCAAATCATTTAAAGTAAGGACTCATATAATATACATTTTTAAGGTTATATTTCCATAATAGATCTATTTATGAGTTACATGTAAATATTTCTCAATATTCACCTATTAAAATAACTAGTCACTTTTGATGATGTCAACTTAAATGGTGCAATGTAAGTGAACTGTATAGTGTTAAAGTTAACTGAAAACGTTTATATGTTGTGTTATTCGTAATTGATTTGTTTGACTTCCTGGAGCCTGACTACCTGCTAGAAAAATTGGTTTTTAAAATTTCTGAAAGTATTAAAATATATACGTATTGCAGAACTATCAATATTGCTATTTTGAAGCCTCACTTTCTGAAAGAAGAAAGGCACTTTGCATAGTAGTCTGTCAGAAGATCTGTATCCTTCCCAATAGAACATGATAGGTTCATATTTTTTAATTTATTACTGACAATAATGGTTACTCTAACTTGATATTAATGCCAATTTTTATATTAAAGATGGCTCTGCGGCCACAAATTTTTTTTCAATGACTACTTTCGAATGTGGTGTATTGGAGGGCATTCAATTTGGAAGAGTTTTGATCATTTGAGCTTTTTTTGTAAATCGAGCTATTTCAGAGATATTTTAAGATTGCACAAATTTTTTTTTTTATATTGAAGCAGGTGTTGACGAAAACTTCAGAAATATTGATTATTTGAAATTCTAGGTATTATCTTGCTGCTTTAGGCACCATTTCTCAAGAGCAACATGATATTTCTAGCACTCAGTGGCATACAGTAGGGGGTAACCTTCATAATCTAACGTTTTATGTCATTGGTATAAGGTCAAATTTCTATCAGTTATGCTAGAATAATGTATAATCTTTGAATATTAAAAGGAATTCAATTTTTGAAGAAAGTGCAACTAACAAAGACAATATTTCAATTTATCAAATTCAACATGATGTATTTAATTTTCATATACAAAAGAAATTTTGATAATATCATGAAGAGAAACTTTAATGATTGATTGGCAATCATTATTGGGAAGGTTCATTTTAGCCAAATGACCTAACAAAAACATTGTCTCAGTCATTTGCGATTGTCACCAAATAAAGATCTTTACATATTTTGAAATCATAGATTATTTGAGTGAAACTGAATAGATAGTTTAAATAAGTAAAATTTGACCTCAATCAGTGTCGAAAAAATTGGGGTATAAATGGAATCAGTGATCCCTACTGAATACTGATAGAAACTTTAAGTTCCTTGAAAAATTGTGCTTTATGCATAGGGGTAATACCTAAAATTCCACGAAAAAAGAATCAATATTTTGGAAGTTTTGGAAAAAAAAAATTTTGAATTTCAATTCCTTGTATTTCTAAAACGATGAATGTTTAACAAAGTATTGCTCAGAAAATATTAATGAGAATGTTGAGAATATTCTGTATCAATTTGAAAATCATTTTCGTGGGACATAGTTGGTTTAAATTTTTGGTAAAAGACTTCTGGACTTTCTAGATCTATAAAATGGCTAGCCTTATAAAAAACTCAATTGACTGAAACTATGCAAAATTCAATGCCTATCAAATACACCATATTGGAAAGTTATTAACATTGAGAAAAACTTTTAAACCGCAGTGCCATCCTCAATATAAAAAAAATTGAAATGACTATCATGCCAAGTTAGTCACTATTCCTGTTAACTCACTAGCATTTACAGAATTGAAATATGTGAGTTTTAGATATTCCAGCAATCTGAGTTTAGATAGAACCTCATTTGGAGTTTTTCATTCTTCAATGTTTCGGCTTCTGTTTTGAAACCATTTTTAAGGACTGGAAAGTATGGCTAACACTGAGATCCCAATCTGCCTACCCCTCAGGTGGAGGGGTGTCCAAGTAGTGGGAGTAGTGAATTCCAAGGTATCAGAAATAAAGTAAGATAGCAAAAATAATCTATCCAGAGACTGGACATGATCATTTCTTTGCTGTATCTCAGGTATCGGCATAACTTATTCATAACAGTCATCTTTTGACATACTTAGATAAACACACACTAATTACTTTACTGCAAAATAAAGGAATGGCACTCAATAATAATATCAAATCCAAAACATTTCCTGAATGTTTCACTGAGTCGATAATTACTTTTTATAAATATTAGAAAAGTATACAACAACTTTCAACAACAGTTTCAAAATTTTTATTTAATTACTGAACAAAATAACCCACCTGAGTTTTGTATATATAAATCTAATGTAACCTAATCCAGTTCAACTCAAGATCAATAATTGAAAAATCAAATTGAACAAGAGTTACTCATTTCCTGGAGATATAGTCATATGAGCAGGAGACTGCTCATTTTCGGATCCACTCACTTCAGTCTTAGCCTTATCTTGTAAACTCTTCCGCAGTTCGTCCACCTGATTGTCAGTATACAACCGTTTTATACCACGTGGCAATGCCCTGCACGATTGCAAATTTATTGAATGCAAGTTAGGGCATTTTGCCAGAACTGCTTTGACTGGTTCAAGGCTGACAGATGATCCGCAAAGGTTGAGAATTCTGAAACAAAGGCTTTAGTGAGAAATTCTTGAATGACTTCCTGTTCTAATAAAAAGAACTTTGTAATTTGAGAGCAAATTTTCAACCACCTCGAAAACAAAATTTTGATATACCTCTGTATACTTCATTGCGTTGCCGACATGTTTTCTCTTCTAATGATGTATTTTGAATCCCTATATCCCCAATGATGCGTTTTTTCTCTGCCTCATGCAACCATGTTTTTCTCTTAAATGACCTGGTATACTACATTTAACGAGCAACCGTCATGTTTTTTTTGAAAAGCAGTCGCCATGTTTTTTCTATAATTTTTCATTCATCATTATTATTATCTCACTTTCACCAAGAGGCACCGCTCTGATTGTTAACCCCACCCCAAAAAGAACAAAAATCGCCAGAATGATCCTTATAGTGGAGATTAACATGTAAAAATGATCAGAAGTTGGTTTTAAATCGATTACGAATTTGTACTTACATACAAATATTATTATTATTATCATTAATAACATATAAGGTAATTATATTGCATTGTCATCCATTTCAGAGCTATGTATAAAGTTTGTTTAAATTTGTACTGAACATACGCACATTATTATTATCATGTTATCATTAATAACATATTTGGTAATGGATCATATTGCATTGTCATATGGTTCTGAGGTAAAGTTTCTTTAAAATCCATCGAAAAATTTGTACCGAACAGAAAAACCATTATTATTACGTTAACAGTTAACATATCCTTAAAACTTCAGAAATGTTTGTATTAACTATTCCCAGCTAGGCATTTTTTATTGAGAAATCTGAATTTTCGAATTTAAACTGCAAAATTAATTTTTTGGAAGAAAAAAAATTATGCCAAATACCTACCTGAAAACAAAATTAAAATTCATATCACTTTTCGTCAATGAAGGATTTCATTTTTAGGCAGTGCCTTAGAAACAAGAGTTCAACATGTGAAACTTGAAAATTAGTTTTGTGTTGAAAAAACAATTTTTTTTCAAATTTCATTTTGAAAGTAATTTGTAATAAAATGCTAAATTAGTTATTTGTTAATGACTGATAGCTTGTTTGTAGTGTTGTTTGTAGTGTTTTTAAAACATAATCATAAAACTCAATGCTTCTATTCAAAAATCTTCATTTCACATGAAAAAAAAACAATACAGTTCGTAGTTCTTATCGTTTTATATTCGAAATTCTTCGAAGACTTTCATTACACTTACCTGAGTTTAGATTCTGATCCTTTTTCAGCTAGTGCAAAGACAGCTGCATCCAGAGGAGTGGTAGCGGTACTCCAAGCCAAATCCACTTCCAATAAACTGTGAGCCCATTTTTGCATAATCAACTCCAAACAGGAATTTTGTAATCGAGTTATATAACAAGCTACAAAAAAAATATGTCAAAAGTTATTGGAAATATATTTAATGGAAATCAAATAAGTCTGATGACTGTGTTAAGCAGATATACATACTAAGAAAACAAATATTTTGAATTAGATATGTCCTGTATCGATGAGGAAAAATACTAAATAAGCCGTTTGTGGGTGATCTCATATTTGATTTCTACAAGATCTGAATCTCACACATTAGTAAAAATATTTCATAATTTTTTATAAGGAACTTCAAAGTAAACATAAAATTTATTATTTTCAAAAGGTATTATAAAAATGCATTTATATATAAATGGATGATATATTTCAGAGACCCCTGATAAAATTAAATAGTTTCCAAATGTAATGCATTATATTTTGTTAAAATTAACATTTTTTATCTTACCGCTCAAAAACAAATGTTCCAAATCCCAAGCCGGAACTCTAACCAACCCAGAATCAGTCAGTTTACTGCATCCTCTCACATCTAGTAAACGCAATTTTGTACTACACTTCAGTAACCTTTCTATACAGTCATCATCTACCAATCTGGATGTTGTAGTTTGCTCATCCTCAAGACCAGCTAGGGACAATTCTTCCAGCTTTGGAAAACCAGGAGAAGCAACCTAGAGCAAGGTATAAAAAACTGATAAAAAACTGATCATTGTTGTTAGAACGTTGGAGGTTTGAAATATGATTAAAAAAAATAAATTTGTCAAATGAAAAGGGCATATAGGATAACTATGTATCAGAAACCATAACGGACTACACAATCGTGAAAAAAAGTTACTTATCTGAAATCAGTCTCAGAGAATTATTGGGAAAGCATGTTTATCCTCCGAGAATCGAGAATTCTGAAGGGGATACACTGTTTCAGAGAGGTTGGAAATTTTGAAAGTTCCGAAAATATGGTTCTGCACAGTTGTTCCACTCTTAAATTTATAAGTTTGACAACCCGGGTAATTTCTATAATTTCCAGTGTTGAATTTTTATAGTCGTCACCCCTGTGTATTTAATTACCTCCCAATTCAGCTTACCTGCAAACTCCCTATATAATCACGTTTTTATATTTCAACTGTATTAGTAAGTTTTTATACTTGATAATGGGATAAAACCCGAAACCGATCGTAAAAATAAAATAACTAGTGGAAATAAGACAAAAGTGTTTTCATTCATTTCATTAAAGTGATCATGAATTTCCACAAACTAAACAAGTCATCAATTGCACAAACTAGGAGAGAGGCTTTACCTGATTTGGTAATGAGAATAAAAGTATTTCCAAAATTATGAAGTTTCATCTGTCAGTTAAAATCTACGTTACAGATTATATTTTGTCGAAACCTATCAACCTTCAATCCATTTGTGATCTTTCTCTCCCCAAACCACAAACTATAAAAAATGCTTGGATTACTTTACAAGAGAAACTGATTGGACAGGAAAAACTGACGTGATCGAAGTACAAAAAAAAAATTCATAAAATCTCTATCAGTATTTCAGTAATGTGTTAGAAAAGATTCTTGCCAACTGAAAGTTTTGAAAGTAGACATAGGTGATGAAACTACACCTTATGAAGATCATGCAAACCAGTTTTTTTTATATGATTGTATCTCGATTCCCGATCCACAACGGCCTACTTGTCTAGCATTCATTTTTAGAGTAATAAATAAATGACACTCAAATGAGTGGTATTTTATTATTGATATTCTATTTGAATATTCATTTCGAAATCCATATAGAACAGTAATGTGATCACTTGCACTTGATTCTTAATACTATTTATCTTCTGATATACAAGTTGAATCATTTGCTAACAAAGTATTTTTTCGGTTTTGATCATTTCATTTATTCCTCTTAAACCAGTAATTTTTCATAATATGCCCCTTCTTCTTGCACAAACTGTACGAGTACAGGATAGTGGACTTTCTTTTGGTTTGGTGGGTTTTTAGAGCAGCCCCTCATTCAGAAATTCAGTTTCACGGTTTTTCGTTCTTCCTTCTTCGAGTTATAGTCGACTGGTCAGATTCGGTTATGTCTCGTTTTCACTTGGAACAGAATCCCATGCACTTTGGAAAAATCCATATTCTTTCGGTAACATCATTGGAATTCAGATGACGATCATGGATTCAGGTATGTTATTTTCCCAAAGACCTCAACTCATGGACTTGATTCTCCAGCTTGGTGATATTTGTAGACATACTTTCAGAACAATCGTATTTGAAAGAGTGAAACTGCTGCCCAATCATTCGATTAGAAACTTCTGTTCTATGGGCGTATAAAGTCAGTAATTTTTCCAACATCACAGCTGCTGTGGTAAAATAAATAATCATTCCCAATATTTGTTCTGAAACTGTGTTAATAACGAATTGCTGAGCTTGTAGTTTTGTCCCACTGTAGTTGTCCTTTTTGGTCACCATCATCTGGTTTGAAAAGAGAAATGAAAATTTCTGTTTTTACCACTTTTATTTGTAACTAACGTTACTGCAGTTTCGTTCTATACGGACATTTTCAAACTTATACAATAAACTAACAATGATTCTTTACATTCGTCATTATATACCACCCCTGTAGGTACTAATAGGAATAGAGATACTTGACTTGATTGAGTACCTGAATTTACAGTTCACAATGCGGATGTGCCAATTTAAAAACTGGAGACTGAATTAAATCGATTTAATCATTTAACAGGTTGCACCCGCAATGTTTATGCTTGTGAATTTTCAAGGATTCTAAATAATTGAGTTTGCAACCCTTCCTTGCATAGTGCAAGTTTATTGTATAAGTTTGAAAATGTCCGTATAGGACGAAACTGCAGTGACGTTAGTTACAAATAAAAGTGGTAAAAAACATAGAAATTTTCATTTCTCTTTTCATTATGATTTCCTACCACGTAGTAACGGCTACATCCATCAATTTATCATCTGGTTTCTTGATTTTTCCTACTGTGACATTTCAACTTCCAACACTTTTCAAAATTATATTCAGTTGGAATCTCCAGGTACCAAAGTTCTGTTTTCCAACCAATTAAAGTGTTTTTTGTATAATTCAGTGTTCATATAAAAGTATTTATTTCCAAAGAATGTTTCTTTCATGTTATTCAATGTTTATATGAAAGTGGCTGTTTCAGGAGGGTTTTTTCTTCCAGTTTTTGTCTGAAAGTTACTACTTTGCATGATCTACATATTTATGTATAGAGTTATTTCTTTTGAAATTGATTGCTTCCTTTCTTTCTTTGGAAGATTCCCACATTTCTTTGTATCAAGCTGGAGTAGTAGAAAATCAAAAACGTTCTTTCCCAAAAATGAATCACTACTAAAAATATAACCTTTCAACAACTACTACTACAAAATGGCATATCAACATATCTAACATAAGTAACATATTGTATACGAAATGATTATTTTCTTCAACAGTTTATCTTTGACATTCATCTTCAATTTTTTGTCCATTCTGTAGATGGCGTCTTAATAAAGAAAGATGGCTTACTTAGGCTTGCTCTTTAAGAATAGTTGAGTCTACAGCCATGCATTCGTGATTCACCCTAGCACCGCCACAATGTAGCCACTAATCATGATGATCTTTATGCAGTATTGAATCACAGTAGAACTACTTACAGTGGACGTTACCCGGCATAATGTAGACCCCCATACAGCAGTACATGCACCAATATCTAGTGAATTCTTATTATTATTGGCCTAAGATTCATTGGTTGTATATTATACCTAACATGACAAGGTAATTAAGTAAGGTAATCAACAGTAAGGTGAATTATAATTTTTTTTGTTCAATATATCTTAATTTCATAAACTACAACTTACGATTTGATCTCCACAAACTTTATTTAACAAATATATCCCAACACGTTTCGCTAACACAATAGCTTTTTCGTAGTGAATTAGTACTTAGTGTAGTGAGTGTGTAGTGAATAGGTACTTAATTCAATATGAAAAAGCTATTGTGTTAGCGAAACATGTCGTGATATATTTGTTAAATAAAGTTGTAGTTTATGAAATTACTATGGATCTTAATCAAGTAACAGGCGAATTAATCAGAAAAACAATACATCCTAATTTACTCTACTTATATTACTATTGATAAGATCCTAGTCTTTAGCTCCCACAAGTTTCTTTTCTTGAGAGTTGTCGTTTTTAGGGGGGCGACAGCTAGTTAACGGAAAAACATATTTTAACAGAAAATCTTTGGCCGAGACCCTGCCTGGATTTGGATGTTCAATCAGGGGAGGTTACCTGGGAGCAGTGAAGTTTTTGTAAATATTTATAAACTTTAACCTCATCAGTAAACTATTATTAGAAATGGGGTATTTTGTTACATTTTAATGTTTTTTCAGCAGACAGTTTATAACTAGGCACCATTTCAACTAGGCACCACTCTGGTTAAGTGCAGAAAAAAGAAGTCTATTTTATTCAAGTGGAAAACGAACCTATTTGAAATTTCTTTCCTCATATCATGAATTTTCCTTTGAGAGGGTTCAAAAATGTTATATTCATCGAATGAATCATTTATTATTAGAGAGTGGATTATATGTTCCTCTGGATTTACGTTAGTAAATAAAATATCTATACTTGTGATATACTGTTTGGAACCTTTGGTGTAGTAATGAATATTACCGGAGTTTTTTCCCAACAATCGTTATTTTTACACCTCGACACGTGTTTCGATCACCAAGTGATCATCTTCAAGAGGAAGACTGAAGTTTTATCTTCCTCTTGAAGATGATCACTTGGGAAAAAACTTCGGTAATATTCAAAATATCTATAGTTTTCAAAAAAAAAAGTAATCTAAATGAACTAAATATCAATAGGCACAATTTTGGCTTGATTATATAAGGGGAGTGTACATGAATAACATTAGTTGCCCAAAATTTTCAAATTTCTTTTCTTTCTAATTAGAAAGCAAGTTGATATAAAATACCTTGCAACAAACATTATTTCTAGATTCCATTAGTACTTTTAGTAACTAATTTGTATCCATAATCATAACTTGACTTTGTTTCTTTCACTAAGCACTATCACTTCCCTAATAAATATCAACTTATTCTTACCTGCTCGGTTAAACTGGCTGCTGCCAGCCAAATCTGGCTGTTGGTGATACGTAGTACTCTCAATTTAGGACACCCAATTTGTAGTTTTTCAATATGTAAGAGTGACATATTGTGAGCAAATGTTCTGATATTGGATAAGTCCAGCAATTGTAAATTTGGACAATTTGTCTGAAAAAAAAAATCGATTCAATTTATAAATGAATTATTATTTCAAATGAAATTATTTTACTTACAGATATAGCTACCATGATTTGTGAAAAATTAGCAATTTTATTGTGAGCTAACACAAGGTGCGTCAACCGAGCTGCCATGGTTTGGCTCAAGTTCACTAAAGGTTGCGCATTGATAGGAGTAGTGGACTGCAAATAATTCAATGATTATGTTTCCAAATCGGAATTGCCTACACTTACATTAATCGAAGATAGATCCAACCGTTCTAAGGTTTTGCACTCTGTAGTAAGGTACTTGAGGTGGTCTGGTGTAATTCCTTTCCAACCACTCAAATTTAAACTCTTCAATTTGGTACAGTGCTCACAAAGGGCTTCAATGAATGCTTGAATGTCACGAATTTTCCACTCACCTTAAAAAATATTCCTATATTATTTCTCTACAACTAATAGCATTTATTCTTGTAAATATATTCCAAAAGGAAAATATACAACACAATATACTAGTATTTCTGTTTCAAAAATAATGGATAACAAGCTAAAGCCATCTATGACTTCCAATAGAATATTTTTCAATTTATTAAAGTTTATAGCAAATGAGTGTAATATCATTTGAATATTATTAAAATTGAATAATCTCCTGGAATGAAATTATAATTCACCTGAAAATACTATTTACACAAAATTTCACTTGGGTTGACACATTATTGCTTGTTAGCATCCAGTTGCAACTACGAACTGCCTTATAAAGTACTGTTCCCGAATAGAGAGGACTGGATCCTCTGGGAGAAGGAAATTTCTAGAGCATATAGTTGTTAGTTCACAGATGGATCAAAAACACCTTCATGTTCTGGTGCAGGTGTTTTTAGTCGCAGACCCAGGACAGAGGAACCTATGTGACTATATTTCAAGCAGAAATGTATGCTATTGAATTGTGTGCGGAGAGATTGGAAGAATCCAACCCCATACACAAGTCAATAAAAATATTCTCGGACAGTCAAGCGGCGTTGGAAGCTCTTGGCTCCTACCGAGCAACGTCTAATTTGGTAGTGAACTGCCAAAAACGACTCTAATTGAAAGGAAGACTTAACAGATTATCTCTTGTCTGGATTCCTGGCCATACTGACATGGAAGGCAATGAGGCTGCTGATTCCCTTGCAAAGAAGGGAGCTGCAAACAGCTTCATCAGACCAGAACCTGGCATCGTTTTAGGCTTTGCCAAACAAACATTGAACACCTGGATGGCAAGAAGATTTATGGACTTCTGGCAGAATCTTCCAGGATTGGCTCACTCCAAGGCGTTTATTCACCCTTCGAAGCTTGATACCAAACAGTTGTTAGATTACAGTAGGGATGAACTACAATGTCTAACAGGCTTTCTCACGGGTCAACGTCATCTGAATCATCATATGCAGACTCAGACTGTCGAAAGACAGTGTGTGTCACCTCTGTTTAGAAAATGATGAAACAGCAGAGCACATACTTTAGGACTGCCCCGCTGGGGATCGAATCAGGTTTTTAGTACTCTCACCATCTGACCTGAAAGACCACTCACCATACAAACTATTCGGCTTCGTTAAGAAGCTGGGTGTGAATAGCTGGACGAATAGACCCACTCACTCACTAACCTAACCCAACATCACATTCATTCACATCACATTCTTTGATTCTGTAAGCTGAAGTCCAATCATCTTCGCACTAAACTAGACTACCTATTAATTAAGATACTGTTTTAATTTTTTCAAACATACCCATGGTAATATCTTGACAGTCAACCAGTCTATTCAAGATAAGCCAGTGCAATCTCAAATCTGTCCTATATTTCTCTTTAACATAATTCAAATCAGCCTTCGACCATATTGGTGGACGTACAGATACATCACGCCAGAGTCTACACACTTTTGCCAACCTGAAATAGAAATAGAGTTGTCCACAAAAAACAAGTTCTATTAAATAAAAAAATTATAAAGAGTATAAAATTTGAACTAAGAATTAAAATATACACTTTAATAATATGGTTGGAGGATCAAAGATGAAATATGCAATGAAACACATTCTTTTTTATAGCACCATTTTCTTCTACAAGTGAAAAATGAAGTCAAACATTTAATGTTTGTATTTAATCAGAGGGAGCCATTGTTTGAATGATTTCTTGCACTCGGTTTATCGAACAAACGGAAGTCATCGACAAAATCTTAGAGTTTGAGATCAGTTGATGACATATTACTACAACACAAATAATCAAATTTTAACCTCAAATAATAAATAAATCTGTCTAATGTTCATACTGGTGCCTGACTTGCCATAAATTTACACTTCATTTAAACTGCCAGATATCAGTTGGAAAATTAAATATAAAATGGGATTTCATAATTAGAAGCACTTCTTCAATAAAAGATTAGTCTGTTTGAAGCAACAGCCACATTTTTTTGTTTTCATTACTTTGTCCACCTATTCCACATGCACAAATTGATGAGGCATTTCTTCATTATGATATACTTTATTCATTGTACTACTGACATTTCTCAGGAGTTTTGATTGCGCTCCATTTCTAAAATTTATAAGCAGCCTCTGATCAAATTTTAATTATGGAATATATTTCTGGGGCACTTGCATGAATTACTCATTAGTGGCAATTTTTAGAATATTAATGAAAAGAAAATAAATTTAGATGTAGTAAAGATAGCAGAACATACATTATATGATACACTATTCAGCTTTAATTCCCTACTGTTATCAAAGAGGAGAAAAATTACCAAGGAGTTAAGAGAAAAAATAAAAAGATATGTTCTGGACAGAGCAATACATTCAAACAGTACTAGAGTGGCTAATTATACATGTTAAAAACTTTCAAAATTCAAATTCATGTTTAGATTCCTGAGCTTGATAAATATCAACTCCCCTTTAAATTTTTCTTACATAAGATTTTAACCTTTACTGACATTTTAGGAATATTCACTTGAAATTTTACTTTTTATGTGTCATTGTATGACAGTTTATGCCAGAGGTATCACCACTACCTTCAGAAGAATACCTATCTATCTTCTTGAAATAAATACGTACAAACAAGATTTCACAAACCGTTTGAGATTTTTTTAGTGTGTTTATGCTTTGATACCAGTATAACCCAGGCAACACCATGAAATATATATCTTTCATTGTATTTCATAAATTTACTTATTCATTCACCTCACTAATGAAGGTAGACACCCATCCTGAATCACAACAAAATCAAATATTTTCTCAAGTACTTCCTCTGGAAATTTTTCCGGATTTCCCCAACAACTCTGTTCAGCTGGTTCACTTTCTTGAGTACTGGAAACATCATTATCAATATTATTTGGTCTAGTTCTTTTAGGTTTTTTCTCATAGTCCGAAGTGTCGGTGTCTGAGGCTGGTTTATGTTTTTTTCGCCTTCCTGATTTTTTCTTGTTTGGTGGCATCTGGAAATGAATTGCGGATACATTATGAGGGTGTAGAAAGCTTATAAACAACAGAAATTATACCAAGTATTTTATGTTTTAAAATGTTTTATTCATTTTAAATTTACTAATATCAGTTTTTTTTAATCACTGACTTGTTTCTTGATGGAAATCAATAACACTATTTATGATAATAATTATAAATTTTCAAAATATAGATTTAATTTCCAATTTGCATTTCACTACATAGTAGCTTCCTCAGTTGCAGTGGTACTCCACACTACTTACAATGCAATCTATACAAATTAATGATGTTAATAAATAATAGAAAATTGAGCAAAAGAACTTCCTATGTTTTTTTACCACTTGTATTTGTAACTAACGTTACTGGTTTCGTCTTATAAGGACATTTTCAAACGAATACAATAAATGTTAATGTTAACCCTTATATATCTATACATCACTGTAGGTGATGTATATATATCTATACATTACTGTAGGTGATGTATAGATATATACATAATTGAGTACTCGAATTTTGTTTACCAGTGACAATGTGGGTATGCTTATCTGAAAACTGGCGAGTAAATAAGATTCATTTGATCATTTAGTAGGTTACATCCGAGACGCTTATGCTTGTGAATTTCCAAGGATTTCGAATAAGGATAGGAAACTCAATTATTTGGAATGCTTGAAAATTCAGAATATTGCAAAAATTAACAAAATATTCAACAAGTGATATTGCAAATATTTACTCATATTATGGGTTAACATTCACCTGGATTTTGAAAAGAAATATTAATACTTTCTGCTAACACTAGCGATAGAAATTTGATTCAGGAAGGTTTAGTCGATGCTTTGGACGTTCAACCCGTGAGGTACGAAAATTGAATTTGATGCCAGACAGAACTTTTCATTTGAAACTCTAATCCATTTCAAATGAACTCCTAATACTTTAAATAAACGATTTTAGTTTCAATAAGCAATGCTAGGTACTAACTGTATCATGAAAAGAATATATGAAGAATATCAAAAATTACTTTTGTTACTCATTTATAATATTATTTTCCATCGTTTTACAAATATTTTTAGTTGCAGTTTACCTTTACTATTTATTTTGTTTTAATAACCACCCTTGAGTAATATTTTTTATTTTGATCTAGATTAGAAAAGAAAAATTCGTTTCAATTTGATAGTTCTCATCAGATTTTTCTTCTACAATCTTTGTCACTTAGTTCATCACTCCTTTAATTTCCTTGAAGAATATGAATATATTTTGATTTTTGTATTATTAGAAAATTTTGATAACTCTAAATAATCTCTGATGAAATTTCCACTATATCCACAGTTGAAGAATTATTCTCGTAATACTGACTTCTTCAATTTTTTGACTAAAATTTGACCTAAAAACAACATGTAAAACCACCATTCCTCCTAAACCACCTGCAGGGAACAACCTATCTCACTTAGGTGTACAAAGTCTCATTTTTAACCAACCGTACCTTTGAAAAACTCAGATATTGGAACTGCAAATGTTAGAACCCATATTAAATGCTCATATAAATATGGCCTGTGATAATAACTATGCTTGTGAGTTTTAACCTCGCATAAATATTTTGTCAAAATTCATAAAACATTTGATATTTCATTTAGGATGGCATTTTATGCTTGAGGAAGCTATTGTATAGCGAAACATGTGTCCCGGTTTTTGTAAAACCCTTTTCTAGTGAAAATCATACAATAAACTGTATTGATTAGTTTTTAATATGGATTTTCAACAAGTATCGGCCAGTTCTATTCAATTAGGATGGCATTATCTAAAGATTTATACATTTTATAAAGACAAAATATCTAAATGTCTACACCAGAGTTTCTATTTATCATCCAATAAATATAATAGATAAGTTAACTAGTTTTCCCAAGAAAAAACAATGAAAATTAAAATTATTCAAATGCTTTAGCAGACATAAATAATGAATATTCCTGGAGTTTTTTCCCCAACACCAAATCGTTATTTTTAACATCTTGACACGTGTTTCGATCACCAAGTGATCATCTTCAAATAGGAAGATTAGTTTTGAGATTGAGTTTTAATTTTCCTATTTGAAGATGATCACTTGGTGATCGAAACACGTGTCGAGGTGTTAAAAATAACGATTTGGTGTTGGGAAAAAACTCCAGAAATATTCATTACTACACCATATGTTCCAAACAGTGCATCATAAGACATAAATAATGTTGTATGTAAACCTTGTGTAACAGAAAAAATTACCTGTGCACAAAAATTGCTTTTTTTGATTCTGATTTTGATGGTATTCTTGTCTCCGCTAATTTGACTGTGGTACATGGTAACAAGTGCTTTCCTGGGACGCCCCCTTCCAGGACCACTAGACATTTTTTTCTTCTTACTTTTCCTAATCACACCATTACTATGCTCTAAAGGTTTATAGTCCAATCCATCATTCAATGATTCCTCATTATGGATATTATATGGATCAGAACATTGTTCTTCTGTCTGGGAACTTTTAGCACTGTCGTGTAATGAATTATCATCCTCATCAATTTCGGATTTAACTTCCATTTGAGAACTGTTGTCACACTCCTGCACAATACTTTGACGCATATTACACTCAGTATTTATATCATCTTTAAACATAAGCTCTGAAGGCACTATGTCTTCATTAACATTATTATTCGGTAGAAAGTTACACATGTCACCATTTGCTTTAAAATTATTTTCGTTCTTTGGAATCCCGAAACAGCTACCTTCAGATGGGATCACTTTGTTCACTACATAAGAGTCAGACATTTTTCATTTGGCCTACATGTCGACTTGAAAATTTGATGTGGAATTCAAGTAGGCAGAGGCATTTCTGAAATATTCTGTGATTTATCCTGAAAAAGAAGTAGTTTTATGAAGATTTTTACATAAAGGCTATTTATAAGGGGATGTTCAAAGGAAGATGGTTGAATACTTTTGATTTTTTACAAGTGATTGAAAATAATTGAGACAAAAATTAATGTCACCAAGAGTTGCAAGAAACACTTCAAGTCAGATATCTCTACTTCAAACTAGATTGACATGGTTTAAAATTATCTTCTATGCCCTCTACCTGAAAGTGATTTTTTTCTCAGAGGTTTGAGCAGTGTGAGCTTGTGTGATCAGTGATGATATGTCGAAGATTGTCATAGCCTAAGGAGTCCTAATTTTTTAAATAGTCACTTTCTGAACATTATGGTCGAACTCTTGAAATGCCTAATGAAGTGATACTTTTGAGAAACTATTTATCCAGATATTCTGAAGCTCACAAATTTCTATATTTAAAAAAAAAGAAGGATATTACTAACAACCAATAGCCCTTCTCTGTGAGATTGTTGAAATTATACTAAAATAAATCCTAATGAATTACTTCTTGAAACACAACACCCTGAGTGTTGGAAAGTTCAGGCATTCAGAACTGAGATTAACAGTATAGTCGAGAGGTCCCCACTGAGAAGCCTTTTCGTTTAATCTCTTCAGTCTTCAAATGTATTTCTCAAGAGAATGACTCATTGAATTTATGATTAAATCACATCTATAGAATCGTAAATAGGTGGTTTTCATGAGTAATATTTACATAATCATATTTTGAATTATGAGTTGAAAGAACATGATGCTCCTAAAGGTTCCGTTCTAGGTCTGCAATTATTCTCACTAATTTCTTCTTGTAAAATCTATATGTTATTCTTATGAATCCAGAATCGTTAACCAAAGATGTCTAATCTTCATACATTTTTGAAAGCTACCATAAAAGAAACTGAATAATGATTTACTACAAATCAATGGAAATTATATCCTAATAAACCATAAAAAATAAAATTTTCTACAAAAGAAGAGTGCAGGAGCAAAGCTCTAGGTATCATATTTGAATGTAGTCGCAAAAAGACCTTTCATATTGCTTCTTTTTTTATTTTCTGCTGAATCAGACAACTGAAAGTGAGTGATCTACTTTCCTTCTAACTCATTTGAGCTAAGAACTATCAAATTCTATCTATACCATAAAAAAAGCAACCACAGGTACCATTTCATGGGCATTTCAATTTGAATTCCCTTTCAATTTGTGTTCCTGTTTACATTCGAAAGTAATATCAGAAAAGTTGAATACTAGTTTGATTTGAATCTCTTGAGCCTCATTCATCTAAAACCAAAATTGTGTACTATTGTAGCCAAATCTCAGATGTGCATCTAGAAAATATCCAATTTTAAATTCGTTGGTATGTTCATTGAAAATATTCTAAAATTTGTCAATTATGTCTATATTTCAATATCCTGAACTTTCTTTCTCATGTAAAAATATTCAAACAAGCAACGGTAATAAATAATAGACCTTTGATCCTCAGTGGAAAGATTAGCTTATTACCGACTTGAATCTTAACAAATATGCTGAAAGCTAAGACTAAGCTTTTTGTTTCTGACAGAAAAGTTGGTCTGATTGTCATTTAAAATGATTTGCTATTTATGCAATAATAGGAATTGTTAATTTACAAGATTGTCTATAGGTCCAGGTAAATAAACAATTTTAAACAAATTCAATGACACTCTCTGACTTAGAAAATAGGTTAAATCTGAAGGTGAAGTTATGAATGATAAAAACACATCACAAAATTAAAGATACATAATGAAATTTTCTTAAAAATTCAGGGACCTCATTCAGAAATTTGGATTGTGTGAGTTTATTTCTAATAAGTACAGGTAATTTATTTTAATTCTTATATCGTTTGGAGGTTATTTTGACTTGAATAGTTACAATGAAATGGTAATGTCTATTTTGATATTCATGAATATCAACATGTCTAGGAAGATTGCTTTTGATCTTATTATTATAATAGGTGATTCCTATTATGTACTAGCAGGTCATTCAACTCCCTAAATACAGGTTCACAAGAAAGTCTTGGTAGAACATTCTTAAAAGCTCTAAGTGATGTTTTCTTCATCAGGAATATCTTCTGTGCAGAGGTAGAATTTTCCCATTAAAACTATGACGTATAAAGGTATAGATTGGATTTTGGAAAAGTAGAAGTTCCCCGTAAAGCATTTTTGTTATACCTATTTTGACATATTTCTTGGGTAATTCTTTTGATTGTATTGGGGGTATTTTTATTCCAGTAATTGGTCGCGGTGGTAGTGCGCACGACTCACAATCGGAAGACCGTGGGTTCGATTCCCGCCTCGACCAGATATTTTTCTCCAGAGAATTTATCTGCTTGAAGCTGGAATGATTCTGCAACCATGTTAGGAATCACACGTTGAAAGGTAAGACCTCTTTAGTCCTTAGCTCGCACAAGTTTCTCAACTTCTAAGAGTTTTCGTTCGTATGGGGGCGACAGCTGATTAACTGAAAAACAGATTTTAAACAGACCGAAGATTAACCTCCAAATGTATCCCTATGAACTTAATAGCTGAGTTCTTAGTAATATTTTTGTCAAGTTTTTTTGAAGATTTAATTACTTACTTAAAAGAGTTGAAATGATCAACATACTTTCAGATAACATTAGGGGCATGAATAACCAGAACAAACCAAAAAAATTACACTGAAAGACCTTCTTTCTGTAAGACCTCATGGTTTTATAACAGTTGTTTTGAATGAATGAGAGTAACTGTTTCAGTTGAAAAATTTAATTTATTATTTTTTTTTTATCAATCGAAAATTTCAATTTTGTCACTAGATATGGATTTTTGTCGTTTCTATCTCGTTTTTTGGTCAAAAAACCCAGAATTTCAATCGAATTTATTATTTTTTTTTTATATTTTGAATATTTTTTTCACGTATATGTATTTATTTTGTAAACAGTGTGTTACTGAAAATATAGTACACACTCGAATGATGCTGATAAAATGAGACTTTGGAAAGTCATATTTTAAGTAGTGCATACCCATGAAAAAAAAACTACAATAAAACATGATTGAAGCATCTATGAAAGCAACTATATGAACATATTCTGATTAGTTTTAAAAAACTCTCAATTGAGTGTATTATCAGATTGAAAATAATATTTTTCAAAAATGTCATACCTTCATCACGTAAATAATTTTTAAATACATAATTTGTCTTATTTTCGAATAGCAGAAATATATATTCATTTTCTTCAAATACTTAGCAATAGGCTTTTGCCCAAACGTAAACAAATATTGTAGACTTGTAAAAAGAAAATGGAATTTAGGTGTTTTTGAATGTATTGGTCCCACATGTGTTGTTCCATCTGCCTTGGCTACTAATCAAATAGCACACGTTTTGCCCTCAATTCACAATTGATAACTTTTCTTCTTAATCAGATAGATCATCTGCAAAGACTGAATATTTTTTACCAATATGCATATTATTGAAGTATAGAAGCACAATTCCTTTATGTACTGTGCCTTCATATACAAGAATTTATGTTGCTCAGGCACCTCTGAATGCGCTATATCACTGTGATTTTCCAAAAGCCATATATAGATAGATGGTTAGAAAAAAAAAATTCTACCAAAACAGCTTTCTAAAACTTTTAAAGGGATTAGACCAAAATATTCCTGGCAGGGAAACTTTAGAAAATCAACTGTTAAACCATCAACAACTCATAACTCCATATTTATATAGTTATTTTGATTGAAAATAACCTCCATCACCTTTCTTCCATCGAAGAGGTCACCCTGTATATAACAATATATAATATTAATAAGCTTGACAAACATTTTTGTTTCTTTTTATAGAATATCCTGTAAGTTGTAGAGAAGGAACACGGTACACAAATTTGAATTCGGCGGCAGTTCTCATATGTGGAACACTCGTAAACAATCACAAATGTCACTTCAGATAAAATTGAATTCTTTGAATATTTTGTCTGATTCAATAATGAGAATAATTTTCGAATGAAAATTAACAATATGTTCACTAATTGTAAATCAGATCGAAACAACTTTACTTACAATGAATGTTATGTGAAAAAATCGTTATCATAACTTCCTAACAATGAAAACGTTATTTATTAGAAATGAACCAAGTTCTCCACTTCACCAACCACTTTTCCAATAAACAAAAACACGAAACCCATTAGAGGTCACATATTGGCTACAACTAGATTACAAGAAAATTGAAATCTTCGTTTTTTGACGAAGCTAATGTTGATGACCTTGTTACCCAAGATGCTGATATTTTTTATTTTGGAGAAATGAAATCTATAGTGCTGCCCCCACAAATGTTTGACACCATCTTTCTGTTACATAGACATCTATCGTAGAGTAGTCCAAGCTTTTCAAACTAATTTATAAATGACAATGAGCAGATCAACGAAATGAAGAGCATCCACGCAAAAGTAAACAAATCCATTTGAAATATATCTGCGTAAAACGAGGTTTTTTGCTGTAGCCACAATTTTCGAAAAATTTGTATTTTAATTTTTATTTTTTTTTAAATACCAGGAAATATGCTACAATGTTTATTTTATTTTTCCTAAAATATTAGAGAAGTTTTTCGATAATATAGTAATATGGATTTGTTTGAAACGTGATGATTTGTACCGGTTTGCTTGACCAGCCTGTTGGAATTATTCTCTTTTGACTGACATATAATAAAAGTCGTTTTAAGCAGAAAAATATTCAATAAATCATCCAAGAAAAACATTACAAATAAACAAAAACTTGTATTCCTACTTGGGAAAATGTCATGAACATTAAAGCTGGCCGTCCACCGAAAGCGGTGCTGTGCGAGGCTGAGCTGTGCTATGCTAGGCTGTGCTGGTTCAAAGCTGTAGCAGTCCGTCCACCAAATGCTAGTCGTGCGGTGTTGTAGCTACTAGCAGAATATTGACATTGAAATGTTTAATAATTTAGAAATCAAAAAGTATCTTTTGGACGCAAGTTCTGAGGAAGATGATTTCGAAGACGAGCACAGAAGCGATTTATTAAGTCTTATTATACTGATGGCGGAGAAAAGAAAACATAGATTCTGGATATCAAACCATTTAGTAGAAAGAAAACAATTTGGCGAGTTTCATAAATTGATTCCAATATTAAGTGGTGAACAGTTTAAAAATTACTTTAGGCTTTCTAGATCACAATTTATGGAAAATCATGAATTCATACGATTTGAAATTATAAAGCTAAACACTAACTACCGAGAAAGTATCACCACAGAGGAGCGTTTGGCTGTATGTTTAAGGTAAT